TCTCTCTCTCTCTCTCTCTCTTTTTGTAATCGTAAAGATTGATGTGAGAAGTGAGGTTTTAATTGTGTTTAGACATATATATGAGCGTATATGAACACATATATACATCATACCTACGTACGTATATACCTACCTACCTATCTACCTACCTACCTACCTACCTACCTACCTACCTACCTACCTACCTACCTACCTACCTACCTACCTACCTACCTACCTACCTACCTACCTACCTACCTACCTACATACATACATACATACATACATACATACATTCATACATACATACATTCATACATACATACATACATACATACATACATACATACATACATACATACATACATACATACATACATACATACATACATACATACATACATACATACATACATACATACATACATACATACATACATACATACATACATACATACATACATACATACATACATACATACATACATACATACATACATACATACATACATACATACATACATACATACATACATACATACATACATACATACATACATACATACATACATACATACATACATACATACATACATACATACATACATACATACATACATATACATACATACATACCTACATACATACATACATACATACATACATACATACATACATACATACATACATATATACATACAAACGTACAAACATACATACATATATAAGGAGATGTACATACGTAAATTCTTTTTGATACGATTGCATTTGCGCAAAAATTTATATCTGTTTAAAAATCGTCGTATATAATAAACGTTGAATAAACGTCCATAACGAACAGTTCGATGTATGTGCGTAGAGAAAACTCTACTACTACACTACTACTATTACTACTACTACTACTACTAAATGTTCACACAGCTCGTATGTCGGACTCTCGACACAATTTCCGTAGTTTCTTCGATCGTAACGTAATGGTTAATAGGTCAGTTCGAAAAAAGAAACCAAACGAAAGAAGAAAAAGGAAATGGTAGTTGTGGTGGTGATGATAGCGGTGATGGTGGTGATGGTAGGTGGAGTAGGAAAAGGGCAAGAGGTAGAGAAAGGAGAAAGGAATGATTATATCCTCATAGATCGTGGAGAAGATCAAAAAACGACAAAAAAAGAAAAGAAGAAAAAAAAAACAAACAAAATAAAAAAGATAGACAAAAGATAAAACAATAAAGAAAAGAAATGAATAATATCATCGAGTATAAAGGAATTGATGAAAATGAAAATGGAGGAAAACGCGTTGAGGACGCGTTACAGATGATGAGGTCGTAGAGATGGCCGAGGTCTGAGATCTTTCATCGTAGAAAATCGTGGGTGAAGAGGGTGGGTGTGGGGGAGTTAATATGGCGTCGAGAAGGACGATGGTGGTAGGTGGATCGTGGAGGTGGTGGTGATGGTGGCGGTGGCGTCGTCGACGATGGCGGCATCGTTGCGGGGGCAGACGCGATCGGTATGAGGAAGAAGAAGAGGTGTGGTGGAGGGGGTGGGGGAGATAGATAGAAAGAGAGAGAGAGAGAGAGAGAGAGAGAGAGAGAGAGAGAGAGAGAGAGAAATATGCAGTTCGCATTGAGGCAGGTCGGTGCAGCGCCGCGAGTCGCGCTCCAGGCGCAGAGATCAATGCACCCGTTCCGATCGTTTTCTTCGTAGTCTTCTACCATACGCGTACTTTCGGTCCACACGTCGTTGTTGTTTCATATATATATATATATATACATATGTATATATATATGTGTGCGTGTGCGTTTGTGTGTGTGAGAGAAAAAGAGTGAGTGAGTGAGTGGGTATGTGTGTATGATAGATATATAATTATATTACACATTTATATATATATATATGTATGTATATGTATATGTGTTTGTGTAATGTAATTATGTTTTGTCATTCGAAAGAAGAAAAAGAGAAAGAATTGAAACATTCAAGAAGAATAACGATTCGTTGAATCGATTATACGGACGTTCTTATTACTACTACTACTACTACTACTACTACTACTACTACTACTACTACTACTACTATTATCGTTCATCGATAAAAGTTCGTCCGACATTTTGAAATTAATTTCCGACGATGATTTTTAATTAATCGTGAAAAGAAAAGAAAGGAAGGAAGAAGAAGATCAATCTCTTGCAAGAGTTTATACTTGGCGTTAACTCGAGGAAGAGGTTCAAGAGGAAGAACGTGAAAAAATAAGGGAACGAAATATATATATATATATATATATATATATATATATATCTTTCTCTAAAGGAGGAGTGGGAGAGATAGAGAGAGAAGAGAAGAAAAGAAAAGAAAAGAAAAAAAAAAAACGAAGAATGTCAAGAATGTCAGTTGGACGAGCCTTCGTCTTCGTCTTCGCTTTCGTCGTAGTTGTCGATGTAATGGAAGGAGTTCGTATTTAATTTAAAAGGGAATGAATGTCATCGAATTTGCGGATGAACGAAAGGGACGACAACTATTATTTTATTGTTGTATCCGTGGGCCAATTAGTTTTCTGATAATAAATGGTGACCTAGGGGAGATAGGAGAGAGTGAGAGAGTGAGAGAGAACGATTGAGATGAGAGAGAAAAAGAGATAGAAGGGATAGAGAAGAGAAGAGAAGAGAAGAGAAGAGAAGAGAAGAGAAGAGAAGATGAGAGCAGAGAAGAGGAGGGAAGAGAAGAAGATGATGAGAGGTCGTATGTTGATTATATAGTAATCGAATGTATGAAGAAAAAAGAAGAGAAAAAAAAAGAAGAGAAAAGAGAAAAAGAAAAGGAAAGGAAAGGGAAGAGAAAAGAAATATTCATGGCCGAAGAAATTTCTCTCTTGGACGTTATATTACATCGGGTAGAAAAAGAGAAGGAGGAGGAGGAGGAGGAGGAGGAGAGGAAGGAGGAGGAGGACGAGGAGGACGAGGAGGACGAGTTTTCTTTTTCTTTTTTGTATGTATTGAGAAATCAATGGTTTAACCTCGATTGAAGGACTGGGGAGTACGGGAAAGAGAACGAGACAGAGAGAGAGAGAGAGAAAGAGAGAGAGAGAGAGAGAGAGAGAGAGAGAGAGAGAGAGAGAGAGAGAGAGAAAGAGAAAGAGAGAGAGAGAGAGAGACAGAGAGACAGAGAGAGAACTCGATGGATCCGATGGTGGTACGCCTACGTAATGTGCATTCGTTCGATCATATCCAGTTAAATTTCTGGTGCATGTCATGCGTCGAAAAGAAGAAAAAAAAAAGGTAGTAAGAAAAAATAGTAATAATAATAATAATAATAATAATAATAATAATAATAATAATAATAATAATAATAATAATAATAATAACAATAATAATAATAATAATAATAATAATAGTAATAAGAAGAATAATATTAGCCGTAATAATAATGCTAATAGAAATTTGTTAAAGAGGAAGGAGGTGAGAGAAAGAGGACGAAGACGATAACGAAAGGAAGATAGATATATACATATTCGTAGAAAGAAGGATGTTCTGACATATACGTAAGCACGCATTATACATACACACACATACATACACACACGTAGATACATACGCGGGCACACATACATTACATATATACATACACATCGATTGTGTCCAGAGTATAATCGTGGAGGAGTAACGGGACGGGGGAGGGGGAGAGGGGAGGGAGCACACGACGTCGTCGATTCACGTTTGGTATCCTCGAACTCCCTTGTACCGGATTATTATTGGGATACGGATTCGAATAAAGAAAAAAGAAGAAAAAAGAAAAAGAAAAAACAGGAAAAAAAAAGAACAAAAAAAAGAAAGAAAGAAAGAAAGAAAGGATGACATTTTTATTACGACAGAAGAATCTAAACTCAAAGAGTTTGGATGATTAATTTGGATTGGATGATGTTGATAGAGGGATAGAAGGAACGTCAGGGAGAGAAAGAGGAAAGAGGAAAGAAGTAAACGTATATAAAAATAAATAAATATTACGAGTCGAAAAAAAAATTACGAGTCGGAGAGAAAAAGAAGGAGAAGGAGAAGAAGAATAGGAAGAAAAAAAGAGGAGGAAGAAGAAGAAGAAGAAGAAGAAGAAGAAGTGAAGGTAGAAGAGGTCGTGGAAGAGGAGGAGGAGGAGGAGAGGGGCATTCGCGGAGGTGCCACGAAGAATGTATAGGTGTACGGATTACCAAAGCATCGTCAGGATGTTCAAGAGCAGGATCTTTCAAGGCGATCTCAGCCCAGTCCCGATTCCGGGCAGCTTGCAACAGTCCAGTACGTACTGGTTAGAGGGGGAATTATAAAGCGAGAGAGAGAGAAAGAGAGAGAGAGAGAAAGAGAGAGAGAGAGAGAGAGAGAGAGAGAGAGAGAGAGAGAGAGAACTCTTACGGTTTTAGATCGATCATAGAAGGCGCGTTGTTTCGTGCAGAGGATCTTGCCGACTAGGGAAGGGCACGATCGATCTTCCCGGGACCTTTCCTCTGGTCCAGATATTATAACACGTTCGAATTGTCTCCTTGACAATTTTCTTTTTATATAATAAAAGAGAATAATTCAATTTCATTGAATACGTAGGAATATATATATATATATATATATATGTATGTATGAATGTATGTATGATAATGTATGTACGTATGAATGTATGTATGTACGAATGTGTGTGTGTGTGTGTGTGTGTATAAGAATTTGCAATTTAAACAGGATAAATCGCGATAATAAATATTATAACGCGTAATCTTATAATATTATATATTCCGTCAGGATTTAAAGGAATAAGGGATAGATTAGACGGGGATGAGATAGACGGAGATAGGTAGTCAGGGGTAGATAGGTAGGACTCTAGATTAGGTAACAAGAAAAAAGGAAATATAGAGAGAAAGAAGTTTGTCCAGTTTCCTTCGTTTGAGGGGATGACAATGCGCAGGGGGAGAGAGAAAGAGAGGGAGGGAGAGAGAGGGAGAGAGAGAGAGAGCTTTAGCTCCTTCGGCTTTCTAAAATTGACAGGATAAGGGATGATAGTAGCGTCGGTGTTTACTCTTAAGATGGAATATATAAATATATACATACATACATATATATATATATATTAAAAAAGAAAGGAAGAAGAAGAAGAACAAGTGGGGAGGTGGGGGATATATCTTGGTGGTAGTAGTTGTGGGGGGTGAGAGGTTGAGGGGTACCGAAAGGGTCAACGACCTCTCTGATGCAGCTGTTATTGATCGAAGAGGACTCGCAACATCGTACCACCGTTACGGCAGAGAGAGAGAGAGAGAGGGGGGGGGGGGAGAATCTTGTTCCATCTCCGTTGAAAGGAGAGGAGAGGATGTTGCTGCTGCTGCTGCTGTTGTTATTGCTGTTGCATTCTTCTTCGGTGTGGTCCACTCGAAATTCTTTTTTTCTTTCATTATTTTTTCTTTCTTTTCTTTTCTTTTTTTTTTTTTTTTTCGTTCTCTTTTTTACTTTTTCTTTTTTTTTTTTTTTTTTTTTTTCGTTCTAACACACCCTCGAAACATGTTCTCCAAGAAGCCTTAGGTGAGGTGATGGCATGACGATTTGCGTCGAATTATCTCGAGACGGACGTTCGTAATAGGAACCAAATGTAACGCGTCACTTCACACGTTTCAACGAACATAATATATATATATATATATATATTACATAATTCTACCAGCACCTGCACCCTGGTATCCTGCCTTCTTCCCTTCCCACCCGTTTTACCCTCTTGGCACTTCTTCTTTCTTCCGCTGTTTATACGTACACTTTTTTGTTCATTTCTTTGCGGCCTTACTTACGGGGCATCGTCTCTTTTTCCTTTTCTTTTTCTATTTTTTGCTTTTTTTTTCTTTTTTCTTTTTTTTTTTTTTTTTTTTTTTTTATAACGAAAGAAAATGGACACCAAAACGAACGAAAGAGAGAGAGAGAGAGAGAGAGAGAGAGAGAGAGAGAGAGAGAGAGAGAGAGAGAGAGAGAGAGAGAGAGAGAGAGAGAGAGAAAGGTAGAAAGAGATAGAGATAGAGAATATCCCGGTCTCAGATACGATGGGGTTATTTCAAACGTAAAGCGAGATGAAGAAGAAGAAGAAGAAGAAGAAGAGGGAAGAAAAAAAAGGAAAAAGAAAAAAAGAAAGAGAAAAGAAACTTTCCCGAAATAGTTTTTACGGATATGCTCGTCCTATTCCCCCACCCCCATTCTCAACCGGTGCCCTTCCCGATTCCACCTATTGCCCAGTCTTAGGTTTTTTTTTTTTTTATTCTTATTGTCGTCATCATTTATTTATTTATTTAATTATTTATTTATTTATTTATTTATTTATCTGTTTATTTATTTGGTTTTTTCTTTTTATTTTTTTCTCTTTCTTTTCTTTTTTTTTTTTTTTTTTTTTTTTTTTTTTTTTGTTATCGCGTTCGCTCCAATTCTCACGAACGAGTGACCACCAAGTGTTGTATCTTTTTCAGGTCAACAAGGTCAGCAAAATGAGCAAGAGCTGGCGACGAAAATGTTGCAAATTCAAAGCAAACGATTCTACCTTGACGTGAAGCAAAATAGACGCGGAAGATTTATCAAAGTCGCCGAGGTATTTTATTATTATTATTATTATTATTATTATCATTATTATTATTATTATTATTATTATTATTATTATTATTATTATTATTATTATTATTATTATTATTGTTATTATTATTATCATTATCATTATCATTACTATCATTATTATTATCGTTAAACTTTGATTATTTTTTTCTACACGCATATATATATACATATATTTATTGGTATGTGGAATGGGTCAAAAGTTGTTCTTTAGGTTTTGCGGTTTTGTGATCTGAAGTAAGGAAAAAAAGATAGAAATTTATCTTTGAATAGTTTCGAAAAATAGTAATTAATTAATAATAAAATTACTTTTGGTCCATCCCTCTCTCTCTTTCTCTCTCTCTCTCTCTTTCTCTCTCTCTCTCTTTCTCTGTCTGTCTCTCCATGCATCCATCCCCCTCCTTCTTCCTCTCTCCACTCATTATTATCGATAAGTTATTATCCATATCATTATCGATAAGTTATATGATCTTTAAATATTTATGGTGTTTGAATTGTGCAATCGTTAGATCGGAGCAGACGGAAGAAGAAGCCAAATTTATTTAGCACTGAGTACAGCATTCGAATTTCGGAACCACCTGTCAACGTTTAGCGACTATTATGCATCCTTAGGTGAGTAATTCTAATCCCATTTACGATTCTTCCGATTTGATATTATCCTTTAAGAAAAATCTTTTTATCGTCGACTCCGTCGAATTGGGGAAAAAAAAAAAAAGAAAAAGATAAAGAATGCATTAAAAAAACAACACGTCGAACAAACAAACAAACATATGAAAATCAAAAATAATATATATATATATATATATAATATTAGGTCCACCGAATCCGGAAAATGTACCGGATGATGGAAAACTCAAATCAGAAATGATGGTCAAGGATAACAGGCGGTATTACCTGGATCTCAAGGAGAACTCTCGTGGTCGTTTCCTGCGGGTGAGTCACCCTGTATGTACCGTTCACGATGTGTTGTTGTAAAGCTTTTACCTCATTTCCTCCTTTCCCCTCAAGCCTCCTTTTTTTTTTAAATATTATCTCGAATGATCGTTCGAATGAACGTACGAATGAACGTACGAATGAATGTACGAATGAACGAATGAACGAATGAACGAACGAACGAATAAATAAGAGAATAAGAAAACAGGTTAACAAAAAAAAAAAAAATTAAATTATATATAACATTCTGCAAAACGTAACCATCCCCCTCTTTTTTTTTTCTTTTTTACTTTATACGTATCATATATATATATATATGTATATGTACATGTATATGTATATTCAGGTGTCACAAACGATAACACGAGGAGGACCTAGGACGCAGATCGCGATACCTGCGCAAGGTATGATCGAGTTCCGTGATGCGTTGACGGATCTTTTAGAAGAATTTGGTTCCGACGATGGAGGTTTTAAAGGTGATCTACCCGATGGTCGCTATATGCGCGTTGAAGGGAAGAATTTTTATTTTGATATAGGTCAAAATAATCGTGGCATCTACATGAGAATTTCCGAGGTAAGTTTTTACCCCTCCGCACACTCCACCTCCCCCATATATATATATATATATATATATATATATATATATATATATATATAAATCAAACATTTATAATATTTAGTTATCATGTTAAATCGAAGATGTTAAATCTTTATTTTTTTTTAATACCTATTATATTTACTTTATTGTTAAAAAATCAGCGCTCTGACTGGTCTGATCAATGACGTTTTTAAAAACTCCTTTCGTTAGTCCTATATCGAGTTTCTTACATAAATTATTCGATATAAAAATATATGATATCGTAGAGAGTTCAAATAGGTTTCCTTAAGCGAGGGCCAATATTATCCCTATGAATGATTTTATAAATCAATTCTTTTTTTTCCTTTCATCTTCCCCTCTCGCCTCTGCCCTCCTTAATTTTCTTTCTTTCTCATATTAGAAACCCCACCCAACCCCCCATCCCTAGAGCTCATAGTTTTTACATTTAATATGAGAAAGAAAATTGTTCTACAAAAGTTCTCGAGATGGGATTTAAAATTTAATCGATTTGAAAGAAAAGAAAGAGAACATTTCAATTATGAACTTTTTTTTCTCGCAATTTTATTTATATATTTATTTATTTATTATAATAATTGTTTTCTTTTCTTTTTTTTTTTTTTTTTTTTTTTTTTTTTCTTTTTTCTTTCCAGGTGAAAACGAACTTTCGAACAGCCATTACCGTTCCGGAAAAGTCTTGGGCGCGTTTCCGTGATATATTTGCGGATTACTGCGAGAAAATGCAAGAAGGTGGTGGAGCAGGTGTTGGCGTTGGTGGTATGAGCGGTGGCAGCGGTGGCAGCGGTGGAAATGTTCTTTCAGATGGGAAGGGCTCGGTAGTGGCACAGGTACCATCACCATCTTCGACCTCGCAACAGCCTAACCCCAATCCAAATTTAGACTCTCCCTTAATCAAGTGAAAAAGGCTTTAACTTAACTCGAACATTGGAATTATAATCGTATAAATCGGTTTCTCAAGACATTAATTAAGCGAACTTAAAAAAAAAAAACAAAAAAAAAAAAGAAACTTATCAGAGTCGTCTATGCCATCGTCATCGCCATTTTCATCGACATCGGCATTGACAACAACACGTTTCATAGTCACCAATTTATCATCATTGTCGTCGTCGTCGTCGTCGTCGTCGTCGTCGTCGTCGTCGTCGTCGTCGTCGTCGTCGTCGTCGTCGGTCGTCGTCGTCGTCGGTCTTCGTCTTCGTCGTTGTCGTCGTCGTCATCGTTATCATCGTTATCATCGTTATCATCATCGCCACCGCCACCGCCACCGTCACCGATCGCCGTCGTCTCATCGTTATTCGCCTTTAACAATTTGCGAGAACGGTGAGGATGGTACTCACCATATACATATATTTATATATATATATATATGTATGTATGTATGTATGTATGTATGTATGTATGTATGTATGTATACATATATATATATACTAAAATGAGATACACAATAAAAGAAAAAAAAAAAAAAGAGAGAAAAGAGATAAAAAGGAAAGATTAAACCAAGATTATTGAAAATAAAAGGAAAAGGATAATAAATATAACACCGTCTGTGTTATGATTTTACTCAAATCGAGTGTATGTTAAAAGTGGCGGCCATGTTTTATCAATCGATTAGATCCAATCTTTTTCTGCGTTCGACATGAAAATGTGACAACAACAACAACAACAACAACAAATAATAACAACAGCTACAACTACAACAATAATGTCAGGGAAAAGACAAATTATGAATGAAAGGGATAATAAATAAATAAATAAATAAATAAATAAATAAATAAATAAATAAATAAATAAAGAGGGAAAAGTAAACGAGGAAAAATAAAAATTGATAATGGGGGTGGGTCATGTGAAATGGGAGGAAAGTTAAAAGATAATGAAAAAAAAA